GGCTGGACCCGGTGGGAGGCAGGGTCCCTCGGAGGCCCCAGCAGGCGGCGCTGTCCTCCATGGGCTCAGGGAGCTGGAAGGAGCCCTGGGGCACACACAATCCTGTTACATCCTGGCAATTATAGTTTATCGCTGCGGCACTAATCCCTTAAAATTAGTCATTAGCGGCTTAAGAACCATTTAGCATCGGGGGCCCACTAAGGAGCTGGAGGAAGCAGGGGATCTACCAGAACTTTCTCTGGGCAGGGCCTCTGAGGCTGGGCAGGACGAGGCGGACTGCCTGGCTCCTCACACGCGATTCCATTTCAGTTCCACCTGGAAGGCTCGTGAAGAAGATTTGACAAACTCAAGCAGCAGGTTTATTAAATCAGCCCACAAGAGAGACATGTTATCGGGGACCTTTGCTCTCCGGGGCCTGCCCAGACAGGTCCGTCAGGAGTGTGGGATGGCTCTGCCCCTCCCTGCCTCTTCTCGGGAAAGGAAAAGCCCACAAGGAGCTGAACTGCCGGCAGCTTGCTGGATGGGTGCAGACCCTCTGAGGGAGAGGGAGGAAGGTAGGGAGATGGAGGAGAAGATGGGGAGACTGAGGCAGGAATGAGGCCCAGGATGGGTGCTGATTAGGTGGTACCTCAGGACAAGAGGGGCTCTGTGTGTAGCCCAATTCTACAGAAGCTGGGGTGGGTTGGCAGGTGTGGGCAGGTGGCCCAGGCTCAGCCAGAGTATCTAGACAGGGACCCTGATCCTGAGAAAGCCACGCGTGGCTGTGCACTGGTGTTCTGCAGCCACGCAAGGCTGTAGGGGAATGGCTGCATGACGCATGGGTGTGGGCCATAACCTCGGGCTCCTGGCCACGAATCTTCATGTCTGGCAGTGGTGGAAGGGGTGGTACTGGGGCCCAGAGAAATGGGTGCCATGTCCATTGGACAGGAGTGGGTGCTGATATAATTAGGTTGCGGCTCCCTCAGTTTTCTCATTCTGGTTCCGTGCCCTCTACCCCAAGTTCTTCCAATCAATTCCATTTCCTCTGGTTGGCCTGAGTTTGGCACAGTACCTCACGGGGTCCCGCCTGGCCCTGAACTTTTTTGCAGCTCAGGGGTGTCGGCTCCCCACTGTTGCCCACTGTGGAGGTCGGGGCTTCTGCTCGGCCAGCATGGCCCGCCCACCCCGGCAGCCTGTGTCCCAGGACAACCTGACCCCTGGCCTTTGGGACAATCTCTACCCCCAGGCTTGGTGGCCCCATTCCCACCAGTCTCGAGGGCTCCTGGGAGCAGTGCCGAGTAAGCACTGCCTGCAGTGGAACTGTCCCTCTCCTACAACTGCTGAGTCCTCGGGGACTGTCAGGTAGGCGCTTCATTACCACTTCCAGATGAGGACCCTGCTGGCTGCTGTCTGGGAGGGATGGTGCCCAGGGCCCCCCACTACTCTGAGATGGGGCTGCATGCAAAGGGCAAGGGTGGGGCCACGGGTACTCGCCTCTGCAGGAGCAGATCAGGATGGCCTGTGCCACACCTGTGTGACCTCAGGCAAGGACTCTGCACCTCAGTTATCTGTAAAATGACACCTCAGGGAGTTGGGGACCAATAAGGCATGTGTGACCTGCTTTGTGACCTGCAGGGCTCCAGAGTGAGAGAGCAACCCATGGCAGGGGCAGCAGCAGGTTGTTCCCGGGAGCTCTGGCCTGTGGCCACTGCCCGGTCCTGTACCTTCAGACGTGCTGGTTCTGGAAATGAGTTAAAGTCCCGAGGACTTCTAGGGTGAGGGCCTGGCCCATCACACACCGGTGCGGCTCTCCCTGTGGGCCCGAGTTGCCGCTGGGTCGCTCTCTCCATTTTGTTACCTCAGCCCCTGCCCCCTCCTCAGCCTCTTTCCATTGGTCTGCAACCCTCACCACCACCCCTGCCTGATTCCCGTGAGAGACAGGCGTGCATGTGCGTACAGACACGTGCATGCATGGACGCGCACACAGAGATGGCACACACACACAAATGCAGACAGATGCACTGAGGGGCAGGTACAGAAACACAGACACGCACACGGGGCCTTGCACTCCATTTTCTACAGGTGACTGAGTCAGGTTCTCTCCTGAACATTTCATTACTGTGGGGGCCCCTGGTCCAAACCTGGGGGTGGCAGGGCTGGGAGTGGATGGACACCCTCACTTACAGCCGGGCTTGCAGCCGACCTGGGGAACATGGGACTGAGGCAGGAGAGAGAAGCATCATTCCCCTCCCCATGACTCCCAGCCCAAGGACAGCAGTGGAGGCCTTTCCTCCCCTAGCAGTGGCGTTGGGGTTCCTGAGTGGGACGAGGGCAGGACCAAGCACAGGGTGAGGCCCACAGGTGTGCAACCCTCAACACCCAGCCCACTCCAGCTTGAGGGCTTCGGGAACAAGAAGGGCTTGGCTTGGCTCCAGGACATCGCCGGCACCTGGAACAGAACCCAACACACAACGGGCACCTACGGGTTGCCTGAATGGAGGCTGAATGAGTGAATCCGGTCTGCCTGCCGTCTCTGCAGAGGGTAGTCTCTGTGCCAGCTCCCAGAGGGGTGCCTCCTGAGTCCCTGCAGGAGCTCGTGCTCATGTCCACGCCCACACTGGCCAGCAGGTGGGCATAGCTGTTCCATGTGCTCGGCAGCCCCCAAAGTGGGGTCAAGGGATCCGTGTGAGATCTAAGGGCTGTCACAGTGCTGTCCTGGTGCTGGTGGCAATGAAAGCTGAAGCACGTGTAGCGCGAGCCTCAACTCTCACAGCAGGAGTTGGTAGAAACACCAAGCAAAAGGAACGAGGTGGAGGCTCAGGGGCTCCGGGCCTATGGCATAGAGACCCTGGAATTCTGGAATTCACTGGAGGGCTATATGGAAGGAGGAAAGCCTTGAAGCTGGACTGGACCCTTCTGATTAGCTGTGGCCATGGGAAGCCACTTGCCAGCGTGAGCCTCAGTGTTCTCCTCTGATAAGTGGGAAAGCAAAACCCCAACACCCCGAGGTCTGCATGGGGCCAGACGAGCTGGGAGCCCTGGGGTTCTGATGACAGCTGGGGATGTGCCCAAAGTCTAGACACTCTGTGCCCTGTCTAGATACTCTGACTGGCTGGGCCTGGTGGCCGCCCTGGTCTGAGTTCGGGGCTGGAGCGGTGCTAACTTGGTGCCTCTAACAGGACGTGGTGACCAGCAGGCCGATACTCCCCCTCTCTCTCAGGGCCTTTGAGCACACAGGACCACAATCAAGGAGCCTTCACCTCCTGTGGAGAGGACAGGTCCCCATCTGAGACCTGGGAAAGGGCTTCCACCTTCAGAGGGACTAACAGCGTTTAAGTTGCAGGATGGCAGGAGGTGAGAGACAGGTGGGGGGGGGGGACGTGTGGCAGAGCCTCCCAGTCCAGCTCCTGGTGAAGAGTCCAGGCTGCAGGCGGCCGGCCCCTGGGGCAGAGCCTACTGTGTGAGGCTCGTTCCTGTGGCTGCACCCAGTTCCCTTCTGCTGGGCCCAGATAGCAGCTCCCCATGCGCGTATTAATTACCCGAGCCGCAGGGCGGGTGTTGGTGCTGCAGGCAGAGAGTGGCTGCTATCCGCCTCATTTTCCCCATGACTAGCGAAGGGCCCGGAGTGCCGAGCGTGCATGTGAATGAGGTACCGCCAGGCCTCCACAGCCAGGCGCTCCATCTCCTGCTCAACTGCACTTGGGGGTGGGACCCCATTTCATGCCTGCCAGAGGGCTCTCTTATCGGTCCAAGTCCCTGGCTAGCTGGCCTAGGTGCTGCCAGTCAGGTGCGGCCCCTCTGGGGGCACAGCACTGTCTCATGTTTCATGTAGACCCTGTCCCTGAAGGCAGCCTCCTGCCCCACTCCCCAGGACCCTGGCCCCGTAGGAACCAGGTCTAGGCCAGAGCCTGAGGCTGCAAGTGTGAGAAGGGCCACCAGTCATGGCAGGGAGGGAGGGAGGGGCCTCGGCTGCTCTTGGTTCCACCTACCAGGTGAGCACTTGCAGGCATGGCCCCGTGCACTCGGAGTGTAGATGCCTTTAATCCGCCTGGTAGGGAGACTATCCTGCCTCTATTGATGAGGGGGTGAATCAGAGAGGGTGCGACGCCAGCCTGAGGTCACACAGCACTTAGTAGCAGACTGGGACCAGGTCCTGGAGTGTCTGGCTCTAGAGCCCATATTCTTGGCCCAGCATCACTGTGTCCTCACTGGTCAGGCTTGACTCAGGGCTTCTGATCCCAGTAACTTTTTTTTTTTTTTAATTGCCAGAGTGAATACAAGCTTACCACAGAGAAAGAGGAAAAAAGCAACTCCCGATGGGGTGGGTTCATACAATCTCTTCTCCTCCATCTCTCTGTCTTATCAGGATTTTGGGCACACACACACACGTGCCCAGTGTTGCTTTATTAAGCCACTAGGCTAAGATCTGAACCATGGTCAGCCATGAGGGATCTGGCTCCCTTAACTACTTAGGGCAGCTCGGCACCTTTTTTTTTTAAAAGAGATTTTTGCTATAGGGCATGTGCATTTGCTGGAGTGATAGAGAGATAGAAAGTGATAAATCATCCCGCAGGGGGGATGGCCATGGTGCAATCATTCTTCATTCTCCTCCCAAGATCTTGGGCATGTGTGTACATGTACCTGGCGTGAGTTTGAAGTTGCCAGGTCTGGGACTTGAACTGCAATCAACTATGTGAGAGTCTAGCGACGTAACCATTATGCCCACTGCTGGTCCCCCCAAACCTTTTGTTTTTAAATTTGTTTTGGGGTTTGGCAGGGGTGTGGTGGTTAAGAGCACTGGACTCCCACATGGCCAACCATGGTTCAAGTCCCAGACCTGATGACTTGCTTTCTCATTTTCTCTCTCTGGTCAAATTAAAAGAAAGAAAGAAAGAAGAAAGGAAAGAGGAAAGGGAAAGGGAAACGGATAGGGAAAGGGAAAGGGAAAGGCAAAGGGAAAGGGAAAGGGAAAGAAGGAAAAATAAAATAGTCCTTTAAAAAAAAATTTCTCTTTCCTTCTTTAATGGGAGGCTGGGGCTTAAGGGCACCCAAGGTCCAGCCAGCTGCAAACATGGGCTTGTGTGTGCCCAGTGTATTTAAGGAGGACTCTGGATGTGAACCTGCAACCCATCTCCCATGTGGGTTGGCCTTGAGGAGCACTGCATTTTACCACCTCTTTACCATCGACCCTCTACCTGTGTCCTCAGTACTGAGCCTCCAGGGCGCACCAGGCCCAGGCTGTACCATGGCAGGTGGACGCTGCTGATGAGGCTCTTTCTTCTGGAGCACTTCCATCCTGTTGAGATTGCCAGGGCCAATGGCACCAGGCTGCTTGTCCCACTCTCCCCAGATGCCTGGGCCTGCGTGGTGACCATCCTTGTGTCCAGGAAAGTGTGGGCAGCAGGTGGTGGTGGGGGCTGGGCCAGGCAGATCATGTGCACAGCAGCCAGAAGCTGGTCTGCTCGGGAGCTCAGGCACACGCAGTGAGCTAGGCAGAGGGGGAGGGCGGCTGGGGAAGCAAACTTTATTTCACAATGTCGACAGCTTGGGCTGGTGACCACAGGTCCACCCACTAGCTCCTGGAACAAAAAGGGTGGAGCCACCTAAGGAGAAGGCAGAGAAGTGGCCTCATGGAACAACTGGGTCCTCCAGCAGGCAGCCCATGCCCGCCTTCCCAGGAGAGAGGGGAGGGAGGAGAGAGGCCTAGTATGGAGGCTGCTCTTCCCTGTCAAGCCTGGGCGGTGAGTCTAGTGACGGGGAAGAACAGCAGGGTCAGAGAGTTCGGGGTGCACACGTCTGGGCAGCACAGCTCCTGCTGGCCTGAGACAGCTAGGCCCTGGGTGGGCCTTGGCACTCAGTCTGGCATTAGGCTGTGGGCTGCGGTCTAGGCCATGGTCTGGCGGCTAAAGAGGTCGAGGGTGAGGGAGCTGAGGAAGGCAGGGATGCTGTCCTGGCGCAGCAGGTGCAGCTCAATGAGCTCGCGGATCGTCCGTGAGAACTCCGTCTCCAGAAGCTGCATCTTGGAGCCCGAGGGTCCTGTAGCCTGTGGGGTGGGTGAGAGACACACAGAGGAGCAGTCAGCATGGGCAGGCCTGGGCAGTGTCTGCTCTCCGTCCCTTAGGCCCCTTCAGGAGAAACCCAGGGCAGGATTGTGGTCCTGGCAAGAGCCTAAGAGCAAACTAACCCAGCCAGTGCAACCTGCAGGGCAGGGGTGGAGCCTGCAGGGCAGGGGTGGAGCCTGCAGGGCAGGGGTGGAGCCTAGCTCAGGCTGTTGTTGTCCGGAGGCCTCCCTCTGCCTGCAGGCCTACTGCCGGCCCACTGGGGCCCGCCTTCATTCTGAGATCCTAGGAAAAGGACATGGAGTTTGGACGGCAGCCTGTCACCTCTTCTAGGCCATCCCCCCCACCCCGCCCCAAGACCTCAGTGTAGTAACGAAAACATCATGTGACCACACATGGGCACCTAAGGAGCGCTCCACTCCCAGGAGTTAGTGCCTGTGCTCTCCCCACAGTGCCACAGGGCGCCACGCAGCAGGGTCTGTGACTGTCCCCTTTACAGATAAAGGGCTGGGGCCTCCTTCGAGGTCCCCGGGAGAGGTGGGCTGAGTCTCACACCAGGCTAACCAGCTCTCAGGCATCATGTTGCATTGGCCTGCCACAGACATGAGGGCAGGGTCCCTGTCATCTGGACAGACAGACAGGGGCAGTGGGAGGGCTGCCTGCCATTCCCCTTCCTCCTCTGCCTAGGAGGCTGCCTAAGGGTGGGGAGGGGACTGCGAGTGCACACAGGATGCAGCGGAAGCCTGGGCTCTTACCCCAGTTCAGAAGAGAAGAGAAGACTGGCGAGCATCCTCCCAGGGACTGGGTGCCCACTCCCAGTTCTCTAGCCCAGGCTACTTGCCCATCCATGGCTGGCCTCTTCCCACCTGAGCCTGATACCCGTGCCTCTGGGCCCAGGGCAAGCCCTGCAAGATCTTCCAGAATGCACAGGGCCCTGTGGCTTCAAGTGAGTAGCTCTCCTCTGGGTCTCAGTTTCCTAAGGCTGCCTGGGGGCTGTTGGAGAGTGGGGTACAGGCGGTCCTAGAGGACCCCATGGGAGGTTTGGCCCTGCCTCTATGGATTTTGGAGCCCAGACTAATCCCTTTTATTGCTTCCTTATGTAAATGCCACTTGTAATTGGGGAAAGGGCACGGAGGGAAGATGAGGCCATCTGCCTCGGGTGAGCAGGGAAGGTCCTAGATAGGGCTTTGGGCTTGGGTCTGCTGGCTCCAGGAGCAGCCTTTCCACACCTCCATTCCCAACTGAGCCACAGCCCAGGGCACCAGACTGGGTGGAGCGGACAGAGGTCCAGAGGGGGTGAGTGGCCCGAAGAAGATTCCCAATGTCACACTGCAGAAAGATACATCTAAGTAGGAGCCGGTATCTAAAATATATTTAAAAAAAAACTCTTGCAACTCAATAAGAAAAAGATAAATAACCCATTTAAAAATGAGCACAGATTCTGCAGAGCTCCAAACAATCTGAATATCTCCAAAACAAGACCAACAAATGGCTAAGAAGAGGGGCCAGCAGGCGGTGTGGCGGTTAAAGCAGCTAGATCCTCAATCGCTGACTGTGCATTTGGAGTCCTGGGCCCAGCGGCTTGAAAACATGCCAGGCATGTGTGCACGTGTGGCCAATGGAAAAGAAGGGACCGTGGCTTCCCCTACCCAGTGGGGGGCAGATTTCTCACTTTCCCCTCCTCTCTGTCTCTCTCCAGCAAACACACACACCCTACAGCGAAACTAAACAATGAAAGGCAAATGAGAGCATGACGAATTTCAGCGTCACCAATTAGGGACATGCAGTCAAACCACAGTGAGATACCACCTCACACACGCCCGTCAGGGCGGCCACAATAACAAAGACAAGCGCTGGCGAGGACGTGCAGGCGTGGCACCTCTTGTGCACTGCTGGTGGGGTGTGGAATGGCACAGCCACTGTGGGAGACAGGCCCCCACAGAGATCAGCATGGAGTTACCACGTGATCCAGCAATCGCACCCATAGATGTGTGCCCAAGAACATAGCACATTCGCCCAGACTTCCACGGGGATGTCCACAGTAAAAGCCATCGCCTGGTACGTGGGTAAACAAAATGTAGTCTACCCACCAAGGGAGATGTCCTGTCCTACAGGACTGAAGTCCTGACATATGCTACAATATTGGTGAGCCTCAAGATCATGCCACACCAGACCCAAAACACCACGTTTGCATGATTCCATGGATACGTAATTTCCAAAAGAGGCAAATGCATAAGGACAGAGAGTACACTGGTGGTCGCTGGGGCTGGGGAAGTGGGAAGTGCCTGCTCTAGGAAGTGGCTTCTTTGGGGTGACGAAAGGTCCTGACATTAGGTCATGGTGATGGCTTCACAACTCCGTGAGTGGGCTAAGAACTGGACGTACACAAATGGGTGAACTGTATGGTAGGTAAGTGACATCTCTGTGAAGTATTTTGAAAAAAGTTCCTTTCTGCCCAGCTGCACTACAGGTGTCCCCACCCCCAGGACTGGCAGGAGGTGGCCTGGCTGCTCCCCAGCATGGGTCCTGGCAGTTCCCTCTGCTGTGCTCATGGCTCACCTCTGGCCTGGCCAGCTCAAGGGGTGAGGCCGTACCCTGCCTGGGTGTCTGTGCCACTTTACCCATGGGCGAGAGAGAACTTGGGCAGCCCCACGTGGCAAGAGCGCCTCCTCCCACTGACTTCCACGTGGCTGTCCGGGCTCCCTTGGGGACCTGCCGCTGCCAGTTTTAGATTGCCCCTTCTTCCCTCCACCCTGCCATGTGGCCTTCAGAGCTCGAGCTGCTGCCTGTGTCTGCCCGACTCCCCGAGCTGCCACCTGTCTTGTTTGTTCCCTGCATTTTCCTGTTTTCTCTCTCCGGCCGACCCCCAGCCTGCTGCCTGTTCTGGCTGCCCGTTAATACATTTAGCCTTGTCATAGTTCAACACAAACCATTTTTAAACAAAAATAAGAGAAACCACTTTGACCTTTTACCAAGAAAATCCTTTCATTTCTGCCTTCTGCTCTTGATTCTGAGTTTTTTTTCCCCCTAAATGTCAGAGGGGCTGATTCTCCTGCAGCTGCCGGGAGAAGGGGGAGCACCAGGCGGAGGCACTGGGCTGAAGCAGGAGCCCAGCAGGGAAGCCAAGTCTCCCCTGGCAGCCCCTGCTCCCTGCTCCTGTCCCAGGACTGTGTCCTGGCTGCAGTCACCCCCAGTCAGGTCTTCTGCACCTCCCACCTTGGCAGTGGGTTCTGGCCAGATGGTACATAAGAACAGCTGGCGTTCTTAGTTAGTAGGCGTCAAGGCTTCCTTGACTCCTCCCCAGGCCCCAGCAAGCTCTGGGGTCCCACTCATGCTTTGTGTGAAGCAGGTCTCATGTCTCTCCGTAGTCAGCCCTGCAGCTGCCACTCTCAGGGCTAATGTGCAGCCCACCACCAACTCCTTTGGCCCATCCAACTGAGGCCACACTGCACCTCCTCTGTGTCACCAAAAGGTTCTGGAAGAACGAGGCCCCCTCTGACACAGCCCTGCCCTCCACATTGGGGTGGAGGGGACAGACAGGCAGGAGTGACTGGTACTTTTTGCTCACCTGAAACTACTAAATAGAGGCAGATCCCAGGTTTGCAAGATACTGGTTCATGACGGTCGGCACTGCCGGCAGGACCCTGGCAAACGTGTCCTCCGCAGCCGCCCAGGGCTCTCAACCCCTCTCTCCTGACTCAGTTGCCCAGTGTGCCCTGAACCCCTAGTGCTGGAAGGAGGCCGCCTCTTCACTAAGATCGGCCGCGGGGGCCGCTACAGTTTTATCAGAATGTGCGGAGTGAATTATGCTGTGCCGATCAATCTCTGCTCAGCCCTCTGCCATGCTCAAATATCACCAGGTCCCCAGGTACCTTGTAAATCACTGTAATTAGGGGCTGTTCACTTAAAATTAGAGTGCGATTTTTTAAAAAGCAAATTGCCCAGTAAGACATGTTGGCTGTGGCTGGACATATTTATGTGGCAGCCTGCGCTCTCTGTCTCTGGCCTCCTCGAGCTTGGCGTTTGCAAGGGAGCAGCAGCCGTGTGGCTGGAGGGCGCCCGGGGGGAGACTGGGACACTTGGTCCTAATGAAGACGCTGTGCTGCTGTCACGCCAGCCCAGCCTTGCCTTGCCTCTGCCTGCCACCTCTGACGAGGGAGTCGGGTCTTCCCCTCGGGTTGCCAGCCCAGACCTGCAAGGCTGAGATCTGGAAGTCTCAGTGTGTGTCCACGGAGCGGCCGTGGTGGTGGAGGATGGCTATGTGCAGGGCACTGGGGTCACTGTGGGCAGGAGGATGCCCAGGAGCCAATTCCAGCTCCACTGTTGGCCAATCTGACATGAGCACACGAGACGATCCTATGCAGTGCAAACACAATGCCTGCCACCGTAGAGGTTCATTAAGTGCTTGCTCCCCCACCCCCTGGCCTGGCCATGTCTCTGCCAGCACACACAACAAATGCTTCACAATGCTCCTCTGGCAGAGTCATGTCACACAGACAAGCCTCTGTCTTCTTCTGCGTCCTCTCACTCCTCACTAATTGCAGGGTGTCCCCTATATGTCTCTCACTCCCTCATGTACCCCCACCTCCTACTAGTGCAGACTGTGGTGAGGGTCACAGGCAAGGTGCAAAGTATGATGGGATTCCTGTCAAGAGCAAGACTGCCTTTTGCCAAAGGTGCTGGAGAACCTTCCATAAATGAAAGAAACTCATCACGACTCAGTGCGTAGACCATGAGCAGAAATGAAACAGCAGAATAAATGATAAAACATCCAGGAAATGTAAATACTATTTCAAGACACTGGGGAGCTATTTTCATATTGTTAATGCATGATGGTGGTATTGTGGCTAGCGTAAAACAAGCACCTACTGCTTCTTGACGAAGTGCTGATTCCAGGGCAGGAGCAGTGAAATACCAGCTGAGCCAGAGCAGCTGCTGTCAGAAAGAAGTGCTGGCCTAGCTGTGGTGACACACGCTGTGCTAA